CGCTTGACAGTGTGGACAGGAGGACTTTATGGAGACTTCTTCGACACTATGGTGTGAATATCTGAGAAGATCGTCAACATCATCTGGAAGTCATGTGACTGACTACAGTGCAAGGTGGTGCATGGCGGAAAGCTGAAAGACGAACTCCAACTGATGACCGGTGTCAGACAAAGCTGCTTACTCTCGTCATTTCGCTTTCTTCTGGTGATTGACTAGATTACGAAGACCTCCATATCTGTAGGAGAGCACTGAATACACTGGACACCGTGGATGTAACTAAAGGATTTGGACTTCACAGATGACCTAGTTCTTCTCTCCCATACACACCAACAAATGCAGGCCATGACAACCAGTGTAGCAGCAGTAGCTTCTGCATCAGTAGGCCTCAACATACACAATCGAAAAAGCAAGATCGTGCAGCTCAACATGGAGAAAACCAACCCAATCCCACTTGATTGTAAAATTATGAAATGGGTGGAAAATTTCACGTGCCTGGATAGCATCATCGGTGAACAAGGAGGATCTGATGCAGATGTGAAGGCGGATTGAGGACATCATTCCCTCAGTTGAAAAACACACGCAACCCGAAACAACTGTCTGTAAGTCCACATCAAATTTTGAATCTTTCATTCTTCTCCCTGTCCTGTAGTTTAACCTTTGTTCAGATCTTGTTTAGCTACACCTTTTGTTCTTCAGTCTGCCTCGTATGAGCTTTTGTTATGTGATTTTGATTGAAGACTTATCCTTTGTAACCTAATTCTCTATTGCATGTTGCCGGACTATTGACAGTAAGGTCGTGTTTGGCCAAGCTCAAGGTCACGGCGTGGTTCAGTGTGATTGTTAACCATCTGACTGTCTGCTTTGGAGGACTGCTGGAATAGCTGCAGATAGATATTTGATATCATCTTGTTGGGAATATTTTTGTTGATTCTCAGGTATCGAACCCTTTAGTACTAACTGTTTCTTTTGCTGTTAAGCGCGCTGCTTTGCGTTCGGAAAACCTTTTACTGTAAAGCACAGGCTGTACTGTTTGAGGTATTTTGTATTTTTGATATAGTTTGTTGTATTTCCTAAATTAGAACCGTTTAAATTGAGCATGGATTTGATGTTTTGATATAATTTAATACGAGTGTCTCAAAAGCGCTTTGTAAGCTATACAGAAGAACGTAGTCTGGCCTATTCGAATACATTTTGGTTCGTCAGTCCTGCGTTCAAACCGAATACTGGCAGTTCGGTCGTTACAGTCACTACAGTGTGCAAATAAATCCCCAAAATAAAGAGTTTTTCAAGTTTTTGACATTGATTCTGACCTTAATTTGTTTTTCTTAACACACATAGTTGAGAATCTCTGTCATGCATTCGCACTGGATCACGAGTGGGTACGTCATGCTACGCATCCTTAGCCATCTTAGACAAAACGCTTCTCGATGTATCGATAGCCTTCCAAATATATCTTCGGACCTCTTCATTTCTGACTTCTGATTTGACTGGGTTGACATACTTCGAATATAAAGGTGATATTATTTCTATTATTACTGGTAACCTTGTCCAGTACCGTATTCTTGGCATAATATAAAACCTCAACAAAAACCATTTTAACAGGTTGACTTTCTTATTTCTTGATCGATCCTGACGATAAATATTGGGTGATCGCCAGTTGTATGTCAAAGCCAACGTATAATTGAACTGTTCAATTCAGGAATTGACGTCTTGATTATGTTCATTCTCTTCAATGAATATTGCTAGCCGCCATGATGTCGGTGATTGCACTTTTGGTAACATGTACAACAGAAAATAACATCAGCACCAAGTTACTGTGAGTTCCTTCCTGTTTATCCTGTATTAACTTTTTACTCCTCTGTACACTATGTTGACTAGCAATTAATATTATTTCTCCACTCGTTCCCTTATCCACAAATCACATACTTCTATACTTTTTCCGCCTGCTTAAATAAACAACTATCCTACAATATACCCTTCTTAACGCTTATACTCTGATTGGCAAACTATACTTTATACTATAGTCAACAGAGGCACTGCATCGATGCTTTACACGCAGTCCATAGCTTGTAACTGCCTGATAAGCTTGTAAAATGGTACTTATAGAAATAGTGCTTTCCAACAGGTTGTGAAACAGAGGATTGTGTGAGGTACGAAGTATATACAAAAATAAGCCTAAATGAGCCTAACATCACAAAAGGAGGGAGGGTGGAGTTACTGACCAGCAAGCATTGATGATGAGGGCGATAACTTCAATCTACCCGTGTTTGTGGGGACAGAACATTTTGTATGTATCAGGCTCCTCATGATTGAGAATAAGTCAACCAATCTGAGATATAGATTGTCTTCCTACGCTCACCACTCAGACTCATGTTTCCAATATTATGCTGGATTAGCTATTCTACTAAGACAACCTATAACATGCTAACTCGGACTTTTACACTAGGATTGTGTGCTGGCATCGGATAGAAAAAAAATATATAACAAGAGATATAGTCATTAGTATTCTTAACACTTCACCCTCTATATACACACCCTTCTAATAAACCCCTCCCCTTGTACCAACCTTGACTTCCCTTCCTTCATGTGAGCTTACTCCAACTTGTTAAACATCACAACTCATTGTTCTTTATTAGTACATTCTCTAATATGGAGCCTCGGACTTCATTTCACTCTAACAAGACATAATATGAATTTATTCTAATTTATTATACCTCTGTCCGTTCTACTACACAATGTTAAGCAACCTTTGGCGTTCATATCCAAGTGCCTTGCTGCTCTTCTGTTTCTCTTTTTTTCTTCTTCAGAATCTTGCTCTGAGAGCACAGCTATGAAACTTCTGACGTTTGGAGCAAACTTGACGTACGCGTCCTCTCAAGGTCATAGTTTACAGCAAGCGCTCTACGATTTCACTTTATAACAACTATAAACTTAATAAGTTGGGAAGCATTTTGCGAACCAAAAAATGTTGTAATTTATAGATCATGCCTGTAAAAACGGTGTGTACCTGCACATGCAGAAATATATTATTATTATTAAAAAAAGGTTATGAGTTAGTAGTGACCTACTTTTATGAAGAGATCGCGATTGGTATAATGGAAACAATTATAATAAACAAGTCCATCAGTGATTATTTTACTGTGCCTGTTTGTTTAAGTGCACCAAAACATACTACCTTCCGTTCTTTGCGACCTTGCACGAACTCTCGTACGCTCAGTAGTCTCGCTTGTAGATTTTGGCACGATCTCGGTATTATTTCGATATCACGAGACCCCCAACAAATACGTCTTAACTACAGCCTTCAACCGCCTCCTGATATTTGGTTTCTGGAGAGGTCTAACCTGGTAACTAGTACGTATTCCATCTGTAGTGGTGATCATAATCAACCACGAGCCGACGCCTACCACAGCTTTTTCATAAATACGTTTGAATGGGTTATGTGATCAAAAGACATAATAGTGTGTTAAAACAAACAAAAACAGGTGACTTGTTGAAATATCTGAATGACAGGAACAAGTAACCCAGATATTCAAGCAGGCCATCACTTTCGTGTAAATGCGTTGTCAAAATCCGAATGTCTTCACTGACCCTACACTTTGTTTGGATGAAACCTGATCAGTAGCTCCATGGTTTAAAAAACAACCTTTTATGTGAGCCTGTTGGTCAAACTGCAAGAAGCCTCATTACTTGCGATTTCGTTGACAGTTCCCTTCGTTGAAAAAGAATTTTTTAATAAAGGAAACTTTGGGGGTACAAAGTTCTTATTGAATAATTAAAGGATGGAAGTCTTAAAAAGACTATAACACTACTCAACAATTACCATACTACTGGAATACAAGGGAAAATTTAAAACTATTTGCGGAAACATAGTAATTCCTCGCTCACTCCAAAAGTATAAGGACACTCTGGAGCGTATCGAACGGCAAGCCGTGAAATCAGTTTGGGGACTTAAATTCAAGCCTTATGAAGAGCGCCTCCATTCACTAAACCTTTATCAGTTAGAGTATAGGCGCCTTAGGGGTGACCTTCTAGTGGCTCACAGTGTCATAACATATCTGGACATCCCCTAATCACCTACGTAAGTTTAGCTCCAACACAAACCTAGGGGTAACACCCAAAAACCAGGGGCAAAAAACAGCAGAAAGGACTGTAGACACAACTTCTACTCCTCAAGAGTTGTCGAATGCCGGAATAAGCGACCGGCTGAGCTAGTTCAAGAAACTTCCCAGAAGTCCTTTAAGAGAAACTTGATCTATTTTTAAGGACTAAGGATAATATCTTGACCTATTGAAGATGGCACAGGTATTCAGTGTTTGACAACGCTTTTACCAGTAACACCTAATATGAAGCCTACCCAACAAGAGAAATCAAAAGACAGAGTCGAGGAGATCGGAAGAGTGTATTCGGCGATTACCAATATATCGGAATTCTCTGATCTAATCTGGCTAGCGATTGCGGTAGATGTTGAGCACACGTTACCACACGTGATCTGGTGCGGATGCATGACCGAGCGCCTGCAGCTAGATGAATTGACTAAAACATATGGTCAGCACCCAATGTTGAAAACTTACAGAGCTATTTATTTTGGAGATTTATTTACCGCTACACTTTCTTAAGGACTAAGGATAACATCTTATTATTATTTACCAATTTCTCTTTTTCTCCTATTATCGTTAACATATCAAGGTTTATGTCTAAAAGTATTGCTGCTCAGCTGCTATTAGACATGGAAGCCCATTAAGCAAAAGTTTCTTCTATTCCGTCCACGACCATTTGAACTATGTGAACTATTATGCTGAATTCGAGATAGAAGTAATTGCTTACATCATCTGGTGCCGAAATCTGAAGCTTTGTGTAACAAAATGACTGGCTTATGATAGTGCGAAAACCTAAAAGAAAAGCTATCACAAAAGTAACTTTGACAATCATTCAAAGTATCTTTTTAAATCTGCTCTACTCCACAAGGACGTAATGGGGAGCGCGTTTCAGATTCGTCACCAATGAGGTGTTGTGTTTGCAGTTTGGAGTTCCAAAATCCATCCAATTCTCTGATTTTATGTGGCAACTGCAATACAATTGTTCATCAGGGATGTTATGGCGTACCGAAACTAACTGGTGTTAATAACTGGTTTTGTAGGAAATGCGAGTCGCAAGTTCGCATGAGCAAAATCGTAAGATACAGTCATATGTAAACTTATTAATAGCGTTGCGATTTGTGCCCAATTAAGGATGGTGCATTTAAACGCAGCAACGGCGTTCGATGTGGTAAGATTGGGCTTCATTCAGAATGTATTCCAGGACAGGTTGGGCCCATATCATCTGTGCAATATACATACCTGAAGTATTTTTCACTGATCTTAGCACCATGGAGCTTATATCAGTTGAGAACGTGATGCCTGATAGGCTTGGCCGGGTGAGTAACATAATGATAGATTATACGGCGAGACTATAATTTATGGACGGACCAATTAGATATAAGATAACGAGTCACGAATTTTTGCGCGGAATTCATCGGTACATTTGGCTAAATAGGGTTTGGGCATTATAGCTGATGTCAGTTTGCAATTAAAACCTTAAATCTAATTTTTAACCCTAACCAACTGTAAATGATAATTCTAACTGCTTTATGACCCTCATTTAGTCCTAATTAGTAGGTGTACATCCCCAGGGTCACTTCAGCGTCGCTCAAAGGTCGTCCATATATTATAGTCTCACCGCCAATTTTTACAAAGTATTCGCTTCTGTAGTGGTGAACATGTGTTATTAGCCATGTGGAAACTCGGTGTGCGACTTTTTTCATATGTAGTACCACATGTTAGCTGTTAATTAGTCTTATTGGAAATTCAGATCTGAACCACACGAAGTATTCCTTATATGGAGACCTATGAACAAGACAGTTTTTTCTAAAAATTCATTGGAAATCAAGCTTGACACGTGATAACTGTTTTAAAAATAATCAAATCACTTGTAGTCAACAAAAAGAAGACTGGCGAAAACTAAAAAAACTGAATTAACGGTAAAAGTCCATTACAATGACGACCTTAAGTCAACCAATCGGAATTAAGACAGTACCCCAATTATCTTGCGAAAAGTTTCAAGTTCAGTAATAGATAACGTGTATATCATCGTTAACCACGTAAAAACAGGCAATTTTTGGTTCTTAGAATGCTTTTTTTTAAAACCAACCAAATATCTACTGTATGACGACAAAGTGAGTTTCAGGTAGTTCTTAGGCTAACTTATTTGGCATACCTGCTTCTAAGGCACATTATGCGTCTAATTGCGTAATGCTGTTCACTACGTAATCAAGTGCTTAGTGAAGCCAGATAATGTTATCCCTTTCTTATTCTTGCTTTTAATCTCAACCCTAAGTTTCTCAACTTTGTAAACAGGAAGATGGCGAAGCATTGCATTGTAAATTATGCCAGTTCGTGTCGAAAACCCTGACTCCAATTTGTAGACTCAACTTAAAACTCCAGTGTAAACCTTAGTATCTAACCCTAAGCTTTTTGTTTTATAACTGATGTCAGTGGGTGGCGAACACTATGATGTGATAACCACATAGGGTTATAAAGTTACTAGCCCTACTCCTAGTATGTATGTATATATGTTGACTTGCTTTTTTCTTTATTGGAAGGGATAATTGGACTTGCGAAGACTAATTATTACGGTCAAAGCTGTTATTTCCTTATTTCATGTTGTTAGTTGTCTTATAATTAGATGACACTTCCTGATCAGCTGACAAGTCCAAAATCGTCGGTATATTAGGTTTTACTCCATATACTACAATCTTTCTAAATATTTATGATTGTATGCTAAATCCGAGTCCCATATATCACCGTACGATATGCTTGTTAAGCGCAAGTATAGGACAATCTTATTATTTATTTATTTATTATTTTAACACATAGATATTGGTACAAGGAGGCACCAAATACATATGCGCTACACAGGTCTCATTTGATATATGTGAGGGCTGTGATACTGCCCGGGTGCCCAGACCGAAGCGAGTGGTTTTCTTAGAGGACCACGCTCGGAGCCTTCGACTTAAAGGTCTGACCCACAAGGCAGTGGAGCTATGTAAGGAGATGCAGTCCCATGGTAGTCGGTGACCAATAATTGGTTCATACGCCATTTGTTCCCTCAGGATACTGGAGCCCATGTACATCATTGGTTTGGAATCAGGGTCTTCCAACTCCCCTAGGTGAACTCTCCATATCCACCAGCCCGGTTAAAGTGCTGGGCATTCGTGTTTCGTCCTCTCAACTTCGTAAACAACACCCTCGCAGCGCTAATGACTTCCCTGGCAGAGGCTATATACGCGTGGCCATGTGGGAGCATTTCGAGAGGGAGAGTGGACCCTGCTCATTCTCGGCCGTACCAGGGTATTCGAGAGCAGGATAATCTCACGGAATATATAGTTCCAGACTCTTATTTTTACTTATAATCACGAGTAGCTTAACATTGTTAAGACGACTTTTGAATATGTATATGCCTGATTTATGTTCATAATGAAGGTAAATGAATACTTTAGAGTGTAGAGTTCTTTCACAATAAGTAGGCTTATAATTGTGTTGAGTTCGTTAACAATACTTTAAGACGACTGTGGAAATTAATCCTCACTGTCTTTTTAATTAGTTTCTTGTTATCGTAATAGTATGGGACATTCTTTCGATATCCTTTTATGCCATTTTTTCGATGAAGAATTGAATGTAACCATCAGTAATAACTACTACTTTTTAAAGGCTTATTACAAAGACAAGGGAGAATTTGTTAGGGCTGTCCCTTAATATCTATATTTATGTGATCAAAAGTGTTGGCGTGCATATTTGTTACTATTTAGTCATTAGTAATCTAACCCCGCTTGTTATCCGAAAGATTCGATGTACTAGTTCAGTCAGTCAGTCAGTCAGCTACAACGTAGGACCAGGCACATATATGCATCGGTCCAAGTTGCCATACCTCATCAACATAACAAGATGGACACCGGGTTCATAAAATTAGTTAATTCAGAGGTGGTAATATATAAAAGAAAGATTGCATTAAGGATATAGTACAGCAAGAAAGAACTAGTTCGTAGAAAGAAACATATGAAGCGGTTTTAATCTCTTAGTTTAAGGGAAGACAGAGAGTGCATACACCGACGCCATTGTGATCTATTCTGAGCCATGTCACCAAGAGTCTCCAACCATTGGTTACGACAGTCACGCGGACCCCAACCACGTAGTCTGCATCTACCAACATGGCTCAGACTAGAAGTTAGTGACTTCAAGCACTGATGCCACGTTTTGGTTTGGCCGCCCCTAACTAGTTATGGAAAAGAATTAGCTTGTTCATTCCGTTTATTCTCAGCAACAGTGAGTATGACAGGATTGTGAGCCAAAAGTTTTGAGGGTTTGTGCTGCTGCTCGGTTATTCAAACCTTAAAGTAAAGCATAAACTGGTGAACTGTTGTTCCAATATCTTCCTAACAGTAAATTCTAACAAAATTCGCCATTTAGTATGCTCAGAAATAAAGAATTTCATTGCTTTGTTCCTTACATAACATGTATTGTTCTAAATAAAATCAGAGCATATTTATCAGAATATTGAAAATAGCTTCAAGATAGGGAATTCTGTAGACAGGCGAAGGAATTTGTTAAATTAACAGTTCAACGGAACTGTAGTTCGTAATAACTAGCGAGTTTCTTAAACTTCAGAATTTTTAGTCAAAAATTTTAATTGTACGTTAATCATAAAATCGTCCAAAGTAAGGTAGTACTAGGAAGATTATCGAATGGTTATACTTTAATAAAATAAATGCGTAGCCTATGATTTGTGACATCGCTACCACCACGATCGTTTCAGATTCACTTCACTAAACTAATTTCTCTGCTCGAAGCCTTGAGTGCTATCCCGGTCTTGCCGTTCTTTTCAACTGTGTATGGGTTGATAACCAACTACAGTACAATCACGGATAACATAAATTTCATTAGTTAAGTGTTTCTGATAGAATACATTTTAAACAACTACTTAAACTCTATGGATACTGTTCATAGTTAATAATTGTTGTTGAAATTTCCCTCTAACTTTTATATTTTAAAGTCGTGTATATTTTGCGAAAGAAATCAACGAAGCTCTCTAGCGAACTACGGAGCTTGTATCCAATGTGCGTGGAAAAATTGCCGTTTATACTTCCATGTTTCTTGGTAAGCAATGACCGTTTTCTTACTTTAGCTTAAATTGTCTCGTGGGATTTTCTTTGTTGCTCTTTTTTGTACTGTCAGTTAGACTATTCTGTAGAAGCTACTCGTTAATTCACATGTTTTACCGGTTTTGAATGATCACATCCTTTTGGGTACTTTTTTGAAATCCAGTTCTCTTATCTATTAATGACTGTGATAGCTTGAATCTCCCTTAATGCATACCTTTAATGTTACTGCATAAAATGTTGGAATAATGGTTTCTTTTTTGGTTCGACTTTGAAGCCGTATGCTTCCATAACTGAGCTAGGGTTGACTAAATGATAATTCACTGCTCCGGTGCAGTTATATATCATGCGGTGTTTTAAGACTTTAAATTTAATTGATTGCAGACTGATCTTTATCAGATTTATTTTCGTGATCGTCCATTAACAGTGGTATTAACTGTGACAACTCTCATGGGAATTAATACTTATGTATTCGGACCTCCATTTCTCGCCACTGATTGACTCTATATATGTGCCTGGAAAGTTAACTATTTCCTCTGTGAATATCACGCAGTTATCTATAAACCAATTTAGTCATAAAATTCCATTTGATAAGAGAAAAGGGGATGCTGACTATCTATAGTAAATAATTGTGCTCTTTATTTATAACATTTTCTAGAGAATTAGTTTCATGGATTCAAAAAGATCAGTACGTATTTTTTTTAGATAATTGAATATCTGTTGATACAAAATTTTATATTAAGATATTGAACTCCCAACGAAGTCTTGTTATTGTATTTGAATATGAGATGATATATATGTGCAATCTGCAATTCCATAGATATATAGTCTGTTTCCACTTTAAGCCCAACAATAAGTAACCGGACAAATATTGTCGAATTTTATAATTTAGCTGCTTATACACATGAAAACTTAACGATAAAATACTTTCAAATGTCCCCGCGGACTAAACTTTGTTTGTGTTGGTCCGTTTAGTGTTTCTTTGTTTAAACATAATCTCTATATCAAACGACATGTTTTTCTTCTCAATGAGTTACATTTCAGTACAGGCATGCAGACGGAATCGTAAATGATAGTTCTAATGATGCCTTTTTTAAAGTGTTTTGCTGGTTGTAGTTGCTACTTTGACGCGGTGGTCGGGATTGCCTTGTCTGTGCATTCAGTTGCTTCCAGGGTTCTTCAGTCACACTTCCACGTTGCTAAGAGTGCTATTAATCCAGTTCGCTTGTTAGGTACCTTAAGAAAGTATCCTTTTAAGGTGTGTAGTTAGGAAGTGATAACCACCCTGACACAAAAAAATGCGAGATTTACTAGTTTATAATCAAAGGCGTCCCAAAGAAGTAGATTAACCTTGTACAGGTTCTCTAATCGAACACTGCTGGTCGAACTAGGGCTAATGGCGAACTGCTATCGGAATTGGTTACCCCAAATGCTCTGGTATGGCTGAGAGTGGCGTGGGCCCGCCCCCCTCTCGAAATGCTCTCACACGGCCACGCGTATACAGCCTCTGCCAGGGAAGTCCTACTCACTGCCTTCTCGTGGCGGGGGTGTTATTTACGAAAGTGAGAGGACGAAAAGCGAATGTCCGGCGCTTTAACCGGTTCTCAAACGAATGGTGCACATGGGCTCCAGTATCCTGCGGGGATAAATGGCGTATGAACCAATAGTTGGTCACTGGCTACCATGGGACTGCATCTCCTCACGATGCTCCACTGCCTTGTGGGTCAGACCTTTAGGTCAAAGGCTCGGGGTGTGGCCCCCTAAGAAAACTACTTGCTTCGGTCTGGGCACCCGGGCAATATCACAGCCCACACACACACAAATATGGTGTGGCGCATATCTGTTTGGTGCCCTCTTGTACCAATATTTATGTGTTGAAATAAAGAATAATAAAAATAAATACTTCAAGTGGTGTTTGTCAGGGTTGTTTTGTTTTCCCATTTCTATTTAACTTCGTCATAGGCATGCTTTTAACTACAAAACTTTCATCGTATGGCTTTTTAGGGGTTGACCTTCGGCCACGAGATTCACTTGTTGACTTAGAATACACAGATGATGTAGTCCTGTTTGATGAAGACGCTGACAAAACACAGTCTTCTGACCATCTTAAGCAACAATGAAAACATGTTTGAGATGGGATTCTCTTTCCTCAGTCGCAGAATGTCACCTCAGGGTTGGCTTGCATCAGAACCCGAATTAATGATAGGAAGTGAAGTATTTGAACGCATCTACCGCTCCACTTATCTTGAGAGTCTCATCAATACTGATGGTGTGGTGTCCGAGGAAATCTCGTCACGGATTCATAAGGATCGATTGACTATCGCTAAGGTGCGTCACTTTCAGTGTAGGCGATATCTGTCTTTCAAGCAAAGAGGGAGTTCACTGCGCACTAGTCTTCTCCGTCCCACTTTATGGATGTGAAACATGGTCATTAGGAATGGGGGCTATTCGTGGGTTATTGATATCAGACCATAGGTGTCTTCGAAGCATTGCTCGTGTATTTTTGGACCACAGAGTGAGCGATGAGTGGGTTAGGAATAAGCTACTAGGTAAGGATGAGAAGCGGATTGATGATGCAGTCAATCTTCACCAACTGAGGTGGTTGGAAAGTGTTACACGTTTCCAACTACTGTCTACCTCTACGACTCACGTTTCCGAGGGTAGGTGTAGTCTGAAAGAAAGCTAGTGTCGGCCAAAACAAAACATGGATCAGTCCGTGAAGTGACTGAAAATTGGACTCAGCAGTGTCCATGTGACTATCATGATTAATGGTTGTGGACTATGAATGACATGAGTGGAAATTGTTTGGAATGACGCAGGTGTATCGGTTCTTTGTCTTCCTCCATATTCTGCGATTCCCGATTGGTTACAACTTCTTTGGTTTTTATATCACTAATTTATATTTTGCTGTCGAATAGTATTTTCAATGTGTAACCTTTTGTAGTACCATTAAAACTGTTACTGCCTTAAATAGTGTGAAATTTGGCCTTACAATTTCATATATATGCTAATGGTATATAGTGACTTGAACCGATGTGTAAATATAGCATGTTATACTTTGTGATTTAGTGAATAAATGACGTTTATTTATCGTTCTGAGCGTTTATGCTTATAACATGACCCATTTTTTGTCACTATTTACGTTATCGTGGGTGTTCAAATACATGAAACTTTTCTCTAATGAATTGTGTGTAATGGGACGTATTTATTTCGTAATTTTATGTATATTTACTGTTGACTACACAAGGGAACATTGAAAATACCATAACTTGGCAAGCACCTTTTACATAGATGAATTGATATTTTTGCAGCTGTTTTTCTTTAGCTATTTGCGTCCTAAAATGTTTGGTACATATACCGTAATGTCAAAAACATTTGATTGAAGACAACTAATCCGAAGACTTCGAAGTATTGCTGTTAGTCAGTTTCGGTGAATATGAATTGGTTGATTAGTTTCCACTGTTTCTTCCGCTAATATTAAGTTATATTAATTGTTGCTGTGGTTGTTAGAAGGGTAACCAGCCTCGTGACTAACAAAGAATTCTGGCTTTTACCATGAGTCGTCATAATTCTTCTAAATGAAGATCCTTCAACTTCCAGGGCATAGTTTGAATGTTTTTTTCTGGTTGGCGTTTTTTAGCAAGGTCGGTTTCTACGAGAGGAGGCTACTGACCCCATATCCTAACCTTCTTTGTCTGTACTTGGAATCGCAAGTAGTCCTAGAAAGGCTACAGAAAGAGTTGGTTCTCTTTTATCATACAATTTGTGGCATCCAATAAGTGGAATTTGATCTGATGTATAAATGTATAAGTCTAGGTTAACAAAAAGGTAAACAATAAAACTTCAAAAAGCACTAGTAAAGTTTGACTAGGTAGAAAAGAGGAAAAATTAACAGTTGTTGTAATTACTCAGTAACCTCTGAAAAGTTCATATTTGCTGTCACTCACTCTTAATCTGTAGTTGGAACCAATATAGACAACAATAAAGCAGGAGAGTCAAGAATTAATTTTATTGGCGCATTTCAAATTGCCTCAGTTTTCTACTTACTACTTTGTGGCATCTTTGTTATTCCAAAGTCTGTCATACTCCTCAATCGTTTTGCCATTTAATGTCAGTTTCATGACCAGTTATTAGTCGGCTATATCGTATCACTGTACATTACCTATTGTTTAGTATGATATCCATTATTTTACTAACCCATACTTGGTATCACATACTATGAAACTGGGACTTTTATAAATAAGGCTATAACTTAGCAGTTTGGACGTTCAAGTTTCAGCTATTATGTTATTGCTTAAAACAGCTTTTCACCTATCTCTAATATTTGAATAACTCATAATAAGTACGGCTTAATCTCGATTATAGGAACCTGTAATTAATGATTAAGTATTACTATATTATAACCTTAAAGAAAGTTTAAAATGTCACTCATTGTGTCAGTTAGACATATTAACAACAAACTAATCAGGCTGTTAGTGATTTCGTTATCTTTTCATTTTCTATTTGTAAACGTAATAATCGAAACAAATGTAGATATCTATATTTCTATATAAATTTCAACTTTCTTCTTTAACTGAAAGAATTCTTTTTGGTTATATTTTTGCTTACTGAACTGCTTCCCCCGTAATAATAATAATAATAATAATAATAATAATAATAATAATTATTATTATTATTATTATTATTATTATTATTATTATTATTATCTCACTATCATACACTAATTTCTGTCATTTGTTCTTTTATTACACGAGTTTTACATTCTCTAACTCTTCACAACCCCACTGTTATTATGTGGGGCATATGTATTTGTTGCCCCTTTATATCAATGTTTATGTGATCAAATAAATAATAATAAATAAATAACATAAATTGTGCTTTTTTTCCACTTTTCCTAGTGCTAGTGCAGAAGGTTTACTTAGCGAGTTACCTGCAACGGAAGCGCATACATCTTTATCAATTGCCGAAATATTATTCAAGACAACTGATAAAAATAAAACTTCGCTTAATTTATCAGATGATTCCACTGAATTATCTAAAGAAATGAATCATAGTTGTGAACAACAATCTTATAGATATCAATTAAATGGTTTTTGTTGTTCGCAGCATAAAAAGGTATCTTGTGTCTATTTTGATTAGTTGAACTATTTAAAATCTTATCCCCTCTTCATCTGTTAGTCTACTTTGATTATTATAAGATGAAAATTAACTGAAAATACACATGAGAATATCACCTTGTGTTTATTTGTTGTTAATTTAACTTTGAGTGAAATCAGATGATAGCAACCGATGGTTAGAGACCCTGAATGACATGGCTCAAAATCGTTTGCAATGGCGCAGGTGCATTCACTCTTTGTGTTCTCCCAAATTCTAATCTTCTGAATTCTTGATGTCCCTCTCTTTTTTCTCTTTCCAAATTTATTTCACTGGATTATACTCTTTAAATAACATCATAAAACCCTAATCTTTCCGAATACTGCTTATACTCTTACTACCGGTACCACAACGTGATTTGAATCGACAGCTGCATCTCTGTGCTAATGTGGTATAGCAACTCGAACTGATATACGTACGTACGTACGAAGTTCTACATTGTTACTGACTGACTGACTGACTGACTGACTTGAATGGAATCCAGTAAAATGTATTCACATGGTATATATGAAATGTTATAAGACTTTAAGACATTTCTAAAAAAGATAATTGTTAGCATCAATTATCAGTTAGTTTTTTTAGTAACGATATTTCATTTCTGAGAAGCCAGTATTCATGGTTATGAATCTTTAATTATGGATATAAACGTCAACGTTGATAATAATTTTTGTTATATAGAATATTCTGTTGCTGTTGTTAGGATGACTGATTTTACTCATATAATTATCGAAAATAACCAAGTATATTTTTTTCAAACACATGGATCGATAATGAAAGTGCTTATATGCAGGTCCAGTGACACATTTATATTTGCCTAAATGAAACTAAATATCAACCTCTATTTCCTTTTTTAAATTTGTATTACTCCTTATTTCGCATGAAAAAAGACTTTTAATCATATTTTTCATTTTCAGAAATTCATGTCTGAAGCTTCCAATCTGAACTCGATTCCTGCTATTTCTCACGGGTAAGCGTATGTTATGCTCAAGGCCGCCAATCAGAAGCAGCGAATTATCGATCGAACCAAGGACGCGTAAAACGCGTGCGAGCAGCCTAGAGTACTGATAGGTCCTGCTTTCTGCCTAGCCCAGCCAGTTAAGCTCAGAACGCCAATCTCAGCCTATGCAGTATGAATCCTTATATTTCAAACATACTGAGTTTTATATACCAATCAAACAGACCACAACGTAGCATAAAATAGAAAATAACATTTGTACAAAATTTGGCCAAATGTGGCCGTGAATGTGGGAGGCAGTGACTAATAGACAGGGCATAATTCAATAATGGTAAAACGTATAATAATGGTTCATAGGTCAAAATAAAGTTTATAATAAGAGGAATATGAATATGAATAGTTTAGTTATTTAACAATCATATGATAAAAATGTACGTTTAGTATTGGTCCATAAAAGGATCCCAAAGTTACCATTCATTATTTTTCTTGGGACCTAACAGCGTAAAACATACGCTTAATAAGTTTGTTGCACACTACTGATTTTATTTATTCTTATATATATATATATATATATATATATATATATATATATATATATATATATATATATATATATATATATATATATATGTGGCTAAGCCAAACAGGGTTAATATAACAACTCTGCTTAAACATAGTGTTGGTTCATATCAGTAATAAATGTGCAGTTACGTTTATCTAGGGTTGAAAGCTCCCGCTGACTGAGAAGCATAAGACAGCTCCGATATTATAAACTACAGAAACTTGGTCTGGAATATTTGTTACCGTGTTCATCAGCTGAAATGGTTGGGACGTGTTACACATTTCCAACTACTGTCTACCTCCACGACTCACGTTTTCGAGGGTAGGTGTAGTCTGAAAGAAAGCTAGTGTCGGCCAAAACAAAACATGGATCAGTCCGTGAAGTGACTGAAAATTGGACTCAGCAGTGTCCATGTGACTATCATGATTAATGGTTGTGGACTATGAATGACATGAGTGGAAATTGTTTGGAATGACGCAGGTGTATCGGTTCTTTGTCTTCCTCCATATTCTGCGATTCCCGATTGGTTACAACTTCTTTGGTTTTTATATCACTAATTTATATTTTGCTGTCGAATAGTATTTTCAATGTGTAACCTTTTGTAGTACCATTAAAACTGTTACTGCCTTAAATAGTGTGAAATTTGGCCTTACAATTTCATATATATGCTAATGGTATATAGTGACTTGAACCGATGTGCAAATGTAGCATGTTCTACTTTGTAGTTGACTGATCAAAGACTGTCACTGTGTCGAAAGGTCGTCTCAGGAGGAAGGCGAACATAGTTTCATTTCAGAACAATGGAATACTGGGTATCGCATTGTCATTGTTGGACTGTTGAACGAAATCTTTCTGTTTTTTATAAATGTTAACTCGCGAATATGTTATTCAAAAATCAAATTTACCTAACACTTTAACATAAATCCTACTATCTTGCAAGAATTATATGTATTCTTCACTGGTTGCGAATGGTTCACATGTATTGTCAATTAAGTTTTATAGGGCTGTAATATACAACAAAAGATTCCAGTCTTATTATTTCTAAACCTTGCAATCTGTTATCTGGTGTCCATTTACACCATAAAATTCATTTTTTCAGTTCATCTAGATAATGAAAATTTACTGTTTTTCCCCTTAAACTAATCACTTTAAACTTATAATAGTATTTCAACATTGTTCATTTATACTAGCACTGATGTTAACAAAGGATGTAAGTCCCCTACGACTGAATTGTCTTGTGAAGTGAATAACCAACCTCCTAGACGCCGATCTTCTCAGCTGCGTCTTTCTCAGCGACCATGTACTTCAGATCCAAACAGAGCAGATGAGATTATTAACACTCAAGACGATTTAAAGAGTGATGGGAGGACTACGTCGGAATGCAAAAGTGAATTTAGTCATCAAAGCTCTTCCACAGTACAGAAAGATCAAATTTATAGTGAAACTCGCTCTCCTGGATCTACAACAACCGACTGCCCAAATGTTAAACGGATCAAAATAGATGTAAACTTAAGTAAAGACAAAATTGCTGAAGTTACTGATACAGAACGAGTTCTTAGTAAGTTCTTAGTTGTGCTAAAATGCAATCATAAAGAATTGTAGCCCATGTACATAGATCGTAATAATATTGTCCATATCTTATTATCTTGGTGGTAAGTAGTCTCAAATAGTATGAAACTCGCATCCTGGATTCTACTACTAATCACAATCCATCCGATCTCTTATTTACTTATTCAAGCACACAAACATTAGTACAAAGGGACATTAAAATATACATATGCGCCACACAATGACAACGAGGTTGTGAAGAGATAAAGAATGTAAAATGTGCCTAATAAAAAGAACAATAATGAACAGAAATTAGCGTATGCGAGTGAAATAATAATAATAATGGGAGGCGTTCAGTTAAAAAAATACAACCAAAATGGGATCTTTCAGTTAAAGAAGTTCTTCTCACTACTATGAAGAAAGTAAGTGAAAGTTACAACAAAGCCGCCACTGCCTTCTATTCTGAGCCATGTGCGATGACGTCTCAAGCCATTATGTTGAACTGTCTCTAGGACAACAACCAGGGAGTCGTGAAGAGCTGACAGATTCTAGTCCAGTAAAACTTTCTTTTATACCATGAAACTATTTGATACACTTACAACCTCTTCACTTTATCCAACCCACGCCAGCGTCGACAAATAATGCACGATATCGTCTCATGCCTGGCCAGTATGCACTTTGTCGTAGTAAATCCGTCGTTCTTGCTATGCCTGTATGTGCTACCTGGTGACACTCATGTATCATCTTACGCCGCCAGTCTTTCGGGATCACAGCCACCCAATTCTCGTCATCGTCCTGCCAGGTCAGGACTCCATATGCGTTCACTTTCAGTCGTTATATACTACTTATGTCAATAAGTAGTAGTAGTAGTAGTAGTAGTATATATCCCGACCGTTGTTGCTACCATCCCGACCGTTGTTGCTACCTTGACGTGGTGGTCGGGCTTACGGCAGCGAAACATGGCCATTAAGAGTAGAAGACACTCGTAAGCTATTAGTATTTGACCACAGATGCCTTAGAAATATTGCTGGCGTCTGCTGGGATCACCGGGTAAGTAATAGTGAGGTTAGACGCAGGGTATTAGGGAATGATGGTAAATCAGTTGATGAGGTTATGAATCTTCATCGACTGAGATGGTTGGGCCACGTGTTACGTATGCCTGAACATCGATTACCACGACGTGCAATGCTATCCGGTATTGGAAATGGTTGGAAGAAAGTTAGGGGCGGCCAAACCAAAACGTGGCATCAGTGCTTGAAGTCACTAACTTCTAGTCTGAGCCATGTTGGTAGATGCAGACTATGTGGTTGGGGTCCGCGTGACTATCGTAACCAATGGTTGGAGACTCTTGGTGACATGGCTCAGAATCGATCACAATGGCGTCGGTGTATACACTCCCTGTCTTCCCTTAAACTAAGAGATTAAAATCGCTTCATATCTTTCTTTCTACGAATCAATTCTTTCTTCTTGTACTATATCTCTATATGCAATCTTTCTCTTATATATTACTACCTTTGACCTAACCACTGCTATGAATCCGGTGTTCATCTTGTTGTGCTGATGCGGTATGGCAACCTGGACTGATGCACATATGTGCCTGGTCCTACGTTGTAGCTGACTGACTGACTGACTTATGTCAATATAAGTAGTACGCACCACACTACTACAACATCTACTACCACCACTTTGGTATTCATTTCTGTGCTGCTGTGGTGTTGCGAATGAGGCCGATTCACATTTGTGCCAGATCCTATGTTGCTTATGATTCGCTGGTTGATGAGCCATGCACAACCAGGTGTGTATAGGTCTCACAGCCTTAGTGTTGGATTACATTCAGAAGGTATTGTATATCTGATATAAAAATTAGCGACATATTTTGTCTATAACTTTATACACACCAAATTTTCCACTTTTAAGAGTTTCCCATTTAATCGGAAAACTTGAAGTAAAACTTATGAAATAAAGTTTTATCTAATTTTTGTCTCGATAATCTAATGAGAAGACGAAGTTTATCAGAATTATGTGATATATTTGCGCAATACATTTCGAACAATCTGATCACACATATACTTGTTAAGACATTTTTATATGGTCAAATAAGATCACAGGATAGACAGACATCATCCTCCATTGCGAAACATTTGATTGAGACTGGTCATAAGGTTGACTTCAAGTCAATATTTGTAGTGTTATACAAAAACCTTCAAAGATGTATCTAAAGTTTATTGAAGCCTTGGCTATACGGAAACTGAAACCCCCTTTATGCGTTCAAAAACAATTTGTTCTTACACTTAACCTACCCTGGTAATACTGATCTATTATCCAGAGTGGTAATCATAATGTTTTTGTGTACTTTAATATTAGTTCTTTTTTATTACGGCTTACCTTTAACGTGTCTAGTTGACCTTTTAATTTCCATATAAAAATGTCTTAACAAGTATATGTGTGATCAGATTGTTCGAAATGTATTGCGTAAATATATCACATAATTCTGATAAACTTCGTCTTCTCATTGCATTTATCAAAAGGACTAATTGTTTTAATTTTTGTATGTTAATTTAATTAACTGTTGGTGTATATAGTACTATGAAAGTTTTGAATATTACCTTGCTTTCATTAGAACAAATCATTCCATTTACACAAAATAGTTTAATTTTAATTTCCCTTGATCGCCATGATTATACAGCATCTCCGTCATCATCAGCAACAACAAACAATCAATCGGCTGTGAATAGTACAATTACATCATCCCAAAGTTCCGTTACTGATTCCACTATCCCTGTAACTTCTCAGGACAATTTACCTCTAATACTACCGCGTCGACCTTTATCATTACGGGGTTTAGGCATTTCTTGTAATTCGAAGAATAGTTCAGTTTTAAATAATATAGCTGGAATGTATGTTGACTCACCATTGGCGCCTACAAATAAAGTCTCAATCTCAGCAAAATCCGATAATTCATTTCCACCTACATTAGCTACAATGCATGATTTGTTAGAATGGCAATGGGATCAAGCTGGAGCTTTACTAATGCAACAGGCAAAAAATACAGATGGTATGTGTTATTAATTGATTATTGTAATATTTTCGCAGAAACTTCCTCTTTTCTACAGTATGTATATTTATACATACCAAAATGAATGACTGCTTTATTTCAGTAGTCAATTTTACACAATTTGTTTGGTTTTTTCAGAGAATTTATCAGGTATCTTTAAATAGTGAATACACTGTATACATTTTAAAATAATTTTAGTGTTGATAAAATTGATACAGTTGTAATATGGATAAGTACTTTATGACGTGGTCTGAAGCTAAAATCAAGCGGTGGTGAAACGAAGTTGTACTACTATTTTTGGTTTTGACACCTTTCATGCATAGTATTCCTAACTATTAAAGAAATCTGAAAGATTCCTATGATTAAATTTATGTCGTCATTCATAAGATGTTCATCTCATAGGCTTTTCAAAATCAAATTTTTGTCAGAAAATGATAATATTTTATTCTTTACAAAGTGAGAAATTAAAGTCCTATTCACATCTACTGGCCAATTATTAAATAGTTTTAGGTATGGATTTTACCTGATCGGGTTCTCTCACTTCAAGTGCGGAATGTCACTTCAGGATTGGCTTGCATCAGAACCCGAATTAATGATAGGAAGTAAAGTATTTGAACGCATCTACCGCTCCACTTATCTTGAGAGTCTCATCAATACTGATGGTTTGGTGTCCGAGGAAATCTCGTCACGGATTTATAAGGGTTGATTGACTGTCGCTAAGGTGCGTCATTTTCAGTGTAGGAGAGATATCTGTCTTTCAAGCAAAGAGTGAGTTCACTGCGCACTAGTCTTCTCCGTTCCACTTTATGGATGTGAAACATGGTCATTAGGAATGGGGGATATTCGTAGGTTACTGGTATTAGACCATAGGTGTCTTCGAAGCATGGTATTCACTGAAGTCTTCTATCTGAAGTTTGTGCTGATGATGTCGTTCAGAAGAACGATGAAAGCTCCACGACCAAACCATCCAGATCAGAGAACAAAACACCACTAAAATCATCCACCTGAGCTACAAATCTCCACCATTCACTGACCTTACATTACAACACCACTTATTTTCGGACTGATAACATCAGTCCTGTAACAATTGTTGAAGTAATTGGATAGTAGTATTTCCCTGATCTATCACCTTCGAAATCTGATGTATGACAATCCATTCGTGATATTTTATAGCAGCTTAGAAAAAAGGAAATTGATATCAAGATGATAAGCAGGAGGGTGTAAAGGATAATCGTAATAGGGAATAAAAACTAAGCATAAAACGAATGGTTTGAACCAATCAGGTTTTCTAAAATCAGTAAAACAAAGTGTCGGTTGAATCGATTTTGATAACAACATAAAGATATTATATTTACTTGGTTTTGTTCTCTTGAATATTCCCATTGATGTTTAGAACTGCAATTGGTCAGTCTTTTATTGTGATATATGCGTATTGCTTAGATATTGCCTTAATTTACAAGCATTATAAGCATTGTCGAGGCAAACACACAGTATACATATATGCCAATAAGAAACTGATCAATTGCAGTTCTAAACATCCATGGGAAGATTCAAGTAAACAATACTAAGTGAATTTAAACTTCACGGCATTGTACAAACAAGTGGCTATCAGGACTCAGTTACGCGGATAACACGATGGAGTATGAAATGTCATGTACGGGGTTCGAGTCCCAGAGTGAACATCAACTCTGAGATGCAGGTACTTCCAGCTGACATGTCTTAAATAGGACGAAATGCGCGTTCTGGATTCCACTGCTAGCCACTATCCATCTTTGTTTATAAAGATATTATGTTGCAAAACCGATGCGCTAATTATTTTTAAGTGTTTAGCTGTTTACATAGTTTTATTCAAAAAACATTTTTTATGACAATCGATTAAATGAAATCTTGGGAAATGATATAATTAGTTTCTATTTCTTTCCTGTAATTTTTGTAATTAAGGTACTTCAGTAACAGTATAGTGTAGGAACGGTTTAAAAAGCGGCGACTAATTTTCAGCTAGTTTTTGGCCAATCAGGAAACAGATTTTGTAGATAGATACCCCATAGAAAAGGAAATAATAATATTGTTAACTGAACTGATTTCACTTTATTGATCAATGTGTTAAAGTCTTCTACAGGTTTCTCTGCCTTTAAATCATAAAAGCAACGACATGAATTCGTCATTATGAATCTGGACCGACCGTCTTTTCAAACGAACTCTTTAAAGGACCTAAATGGATTTTTAAGAGTTCCTTATTGTTCCTCGTTTTAATTTGATATTTAGGGTAAGCATAAGGGTATAAGGTTAGGGGTTTTATCACGAACTGATACCAGCTATAATGCGAAGATGCTCTGTGGCCTTGTGGATGAATGAATTTCATGCAAAAATCCTAGTTGCATTAACTGGTTAGTTCGTCCTTGAAACATAGTGCCAATAAGTTTTGTTCCAGGACTAAGGGTTTATGTTTGGGATCTGGAGATACGGTTGAATGTTTTATGCAAATTGTAAAAACAGAATCAGCTACACACACCACTGTGTCGAAGAATGTTCCGTGAGGTTCTCCTATCCGGACTGTCAAATGCTTTTTCATAGCGACGGAAGTTGATGTTGACGAGTTCCATTCAACTGATCGTTCAACGATGATCCGTATTGTCGCGATGTGGTCTGTGCACAACCGACCCTTACAGAACCCGTTCTGTTGAGACCTATGTCCGGGGCGATCTGCCAACTACATCCAATTACTTAATATCGAAAAATAATGCACGGAGTGTCAAGTCACTGATACTAGTGACTACATTATACCTTGATCAATTTAATTCGTTTTACACTAAATTGTAGACAAACATGACATTGACCTCTAGTCAGTGATCAGTTAGTGTTTATATTTGAAGGTAAAAGACATGAGCTATTTATATTTCTAACAATTCCGCATAATTTAATATAGAGGCGTGGCTCACTGGTTTAAAAGTTCGACTTTAAGCTTTCATTCCCCAGTCTGCATACATCAGTGTGTAAGTTATAGGATGGTTCAGTTAATTTCGATAATCTCTACTTGATTTATCATCACTGTTTTTGTAGAAGCCTGTAATTCCTGTATTCTGTATATTATACATAAACTTTAGTTGTTACATTATTGGATTGTTTGCATCAATTAAAATGTGAAAATGATATTCTTGAAGCTAAATTAATTCGTCTTACAACAAGACATGAGCATTTGAAATCTGTGAATGCTCGTTTGTCTGATTCACTTGCTACAATGGAATCAACAATGGTAATGAACTCTCCAAAACATGAAATTTCCGAACAAAATTCTACTGGAGTCAATAATCTTACAAAAAAGTCAAATCACCATTTCGCCCATCCTTTGGATACTAATACTGCCATTACTTCTAATATAACGACCACTACACAGAGTTCACATATATCTACAATCTTACATTCTATTGATCAGGAATCTCATCAACTTCAGTTATCCGATAATGTCACGAAAAGTTAGTTATTTGATATTTGTTAGTAGTATGTATATTGTTGAATTCATAATTTCTGTCAGTTTGAGATAATCTTATTTTTTCGTTCATGTTGTTTGAGTCGAAAATGGTAGTGATAAGTAGTTCATCTAATAATAACATGGTTTAATCAAATTATTATTATTATTATTATTATTATTATTATTATTATTATTATTATTATTATTATTATTATTATTATTAATGGCTTTATTCAATATTATATTTTTGGTAGAATATAGAATTCTCAGCACAAAGTATTTCAACAAGTTTTTTGTACAAAAAAGTGAAGGAAACTGATAACTGTATACATATATATAAAAGTTAATCAGATAAGTTAAATAGATAGACTACCTGGAATTAAATGAAATGTTTTTTTTCAAAAGGTGATTTGGGTCTTCGCAACTTTTGTTTAGAAACGTGCTTAAGAATACTAGTTGTTGACTAGCTCAGACCTAATAATCTGTTTGTCACATATGATATTTACTAAATAAGTCATTGTAGAGACTTTATATCTTAGATTGTATGCATGGATTCTAAAATATTGACATCTCGTTTTACCAGAAAATATACAAGGAGAAATATATATATATATATATATATATATGAAATAGATGATTGGTATCTAATAAGATATCACCTGCCGGAAGTTTGCAAGATTTTGGATGTTTATCTACAACCGTATTAATAATAATTTCAACAAGCTCACCACACACCCTGACAACTGCCTTCAGCACTCCCCGCAACACAACAAAGTCTTTTCTCAAAAGCTGGGGAAAGAGTAATAGAGAACAGTAAAGAATAATATGATTTCTGGTTAAATTGTGTTTAGTTAACTGAGTATGCAATCGCATAACTCTTTTGCTACTGCTCTAAACAATACCAACGACTATTTCACATAAAGGTAAGCTATTTAATCGTTCTACAAAAACTAAATCAGTTCATTCTTACGAACTGTCGGTTTTGAATTGTTCTTTATCTTCATTTGTTTGGCCATTCCTGTTGACTGACTTGTTCGGTCACCCTAAACACGTGATTGGTCGACTTTTTACGTGCAGGATGATAGACGGGATCTATATCGGTGACTTTTGATCATGTATTGATCTGAATGCAATGTTTTCAGTTATTCTCTTTCATTCTTTAAATTTTATCTACTCGAAAGTTTAACATTTTCTTAGTCAAATATATATTTGTACAATAATGTTTGTGATAATATGCCATGTCGCGTTTCACTGTTAGTGTATTTGTGTATGCGCGAACAAAAGAGGTCCTCATCCTATTCAATATATTGTCTGTCTCACATGATGCAACTTATTTTATGAGCAATATTGTATTTATATTCTTTCGCTGTTATACCATTCAGTCTGCGTACGATGAAATAAAATGACTGTGTCTAGTAGCGAGTAACGTTAATTTCAATAGGCTTTAAGAAGTTTCAGGTGATCTATGGATTGGTTTTCATACGCGACAGAGTAATTTTACTTTCGCAGATAATCTTATGGAAGTACCTCAACTTGTTAAACACTTTTTGATGGAGTTTTCTGTGTAACCATTTTTACAGAAAACAGAGAAAATATGCTTCGTTTTTTTTTCGTGTACTCAGAGTACCGGGAGAAGTCTTGATTCTTCTGAATAACGTCTTGACACAACTTATCTTGGAAACTTAGTTTTTTCTACTGTAATTGTAGTATGTGATCTATGTAACTTGATTTCCTGCATGCCTGTATTTACGATGCTGGTTGACTGTTGATTCTTCTATTGTGAAATGTTGTCAATCAGTCATCGAGTATCTTTAAGTCTGTTTCTCTTGAAGATAACAACCGTGTCATTTACGTAACATTAAAATCTTTGTTTGATTATTGGTAGGACTATAGCTTTCGGTCTTTACATAACTGCTTTTTATAATTAAAACGAATAGAAATACTGCCAAATATTTTTCCACTGAACTTTCGAATACATAGTGAGTGTTATTCTCTCTTCCTAATATACAATAAGTGCTATTCACAACTGCAAGCATTAACATACATTTAAGGAATAATTCGTATTTATTTTAACAGTCCGGAAATGATAACGTGCTCATGTATAGATTGTAGGGTTTTGTCATACCATTTGAAACTAATTACAAGGTAATAACATTAAGAATTTGTATTTCTATGTAGTGGAAATTACTTCATCCTTTTTTGGCCATTTTTTAGTTCTAATCTGTGAAAGTAAATACATTTAGTTTTGTATATACACTTTTAAGATTACATCTACCCTGTTCTCATGTATGATGGAATTTCCTTTTTTATTTGATATCCCCTAAGTTGTTTCATCATCTAACGATGGTTATTTATAAGTTGATAGTTACTTGAAAATTTACTAGTTTTTTAAAACTCTTTCTACACAATAATTATTTTGATTGTTTAGCATTATTTATGTATTCTCCTACTGAATTGTTGAAGATTTTGTAGATTATTTCATACAAATAAATGTTAGGATGATTTTAATCACTAGCTGATATTAACTGAAAAACTAGTGAAGTGTCTCATTCCTAGTTCAGGACTCTTCAGAATTTCATATCCATGATTGTGCATTGTATCTAAATTTCTTCATGAACACGATATTCATAGACCTTTGAGCCAGAATCCATTGCTCCACATCTGCAATTTTAATCAAATCGGTTGTAGAACATTTATTTATTTGAACACATACATATTGGTACAAGAGTGCGCCAAATATATATGTAGAACATGATCTTCAAGGAATATTATCTACAATTTACTGTCTTATTCCGGACTTTATTGATTGATTGTTATGGCTTTCTATTGGAGAGTCTCAGAAAATTGTTACTAAATTTACTCAAAGTTAGTGAATACAGAAATATTTTTAGTTTGACGGCTTTGGGTTGGTTTTTGTATATATTTTCATTACAGTCAAAAAATCGTGGTAAACTATGACTGATTTTTACATAATTGTTTGCCATTCTGATAATATTAAATATTATTATTTTGATTGTTGTGTTAATAATCAGTATTTTACGTGTTTGTACATTGCTTTAACATGTAATTACGTTTTGTATTTATTCTGACTGTAATCTATTTTTACTCAAGATTCTTCGAATCAATCTGTCACATTGGTCAACAATTACAATGATCCATCTTTTGCAAAATATTCAACTAATGGAAATAGAAAAGTTCCAATTCTACCGAAAGACTATACTACAACTTGTTCCAATTTAAATTTAAAACATGATTCAACAAATCTTATGGATAATCTAGGATCATTTGATAAAATTCACTCAACCAATTGTTTAAATCATACTCAACCAGTATTTTGTACATCATTAGATTATTCGAAGTCTTCACATGAATCACATTTAAGCTATTCAAATTTAATAAAACATCAACCGAATACATTTCTAAATGATTCTTTCACTCCACATAATAATAATAATAATCAAACTAGATCAACCTTTGACTATCTATCCAGTTCATGTTCTTCTACGTTACCGTCAACAAATCCTACATATTTTACTAAAAGTGTTGATCATAATGATTTGGTGAGTATCTAATGATTGAGTAATAAGTAAATTTTAATCGCTTCATATTATCATTTACATTCTTTGTCCACTGCTCACTGCTAAATAGTTCCATACTAGGACGAAACGTCCATTTAGTGCTTCCAGGTTTTCAATGGTTTTCTAACATTGATTGATTCATGATTTCAATTAATTATAGTAATAATAATAATAATAGTCCTTTGCCATCCAAAAAGTGTATTTACTCATTATTGAGCTATAATTACTGACAGTATATGCAAACATGTGATTCACTGATTGAAAGTTGAATGATTTTTATCCATTAGGTTTCTGTATAAATCAATTAATTATAGATTAGTTGAATTCTTTTACTGTAAAAAATGTTTTCCAGATTGTAGAAATTTTCAGTAATTTTCCTTGTTTTACAATATATCTTTTAGTAATATTATTAATATCATGATAATATAAATCGTACTAGTCGTTTTTGTTATTACCGGTATTCATAAGTGGAAAATTATTAGTTACATACATTATGACTTTTATTTGTTTAAAACAGTTAGTTTATTTGATAAATTTAGTTAATGTAATGAGAGAATAAAACTTTATCAGTACTAAACCCCGACCCATATGAAATTTCAGACTCCTGTTGTTCTTTTTTTCAAAAACAATTTGTAATTACACTAAGTCGGTCGCGGCCCGGATAGCTCAGTGGTAACGTCTCTGATTGTGAAGCTGGGTGATACGGGATCGAATCCGTCAGGGAGCACCAGTTCCCTCAAGATTACAGGTAAACCTTGCTGACGATTGCCAAGTAGCACGAAACCCGGGTCCAGGGTTTCCTGTTGACTACCTCCAACTACCATCTAAATATCAATACATAGTGCCCGCAGTGTCGAGTCAACTAGACTGGTGGCCACATTACAACTTGGTCGATAGCATTCGATCTGCACTAATAAGGACTTGACACACATGACATTGATCACCACTCAATGATCAATCGGTTGTGAAAATTTAGACTCCTGTTGTTGTTGTTTTTTTTTTCAAAAACAATTTGTAATTACACTAAATCTACTCTAGTAATATTAATTTATTATCCAGTTTAGTGTGATGTATACTGTTTTTCCTTATCATCTATATTTTTCATGTGTATAAGAATGTCTAAACCAGTAGATGTGTGGTCAGTTTATCCCCTCACTTGTTGTCAAATAAATTAACTCAGTGATACTATATTGCTTAAATATTTATCACGTAAATCCTACCTTCAATTACCTGTAATTTATATTTTCATACCCAGTTAATCGACTGATGATCTTATATCTCCTATAAACCTACTCCATCGTGATTTAGTAAAGGTTTACTTAAATAAACTTATCAATCCAGAACTAATCACAATTACTGTTTTTTTGTACATTCCTATCTTTTTGTTTACATTCTCTAGTCATCTATTGAATTTCTTCCAGTTTTTGTCGTATTACCATTGATTTTAAGAAACGTGCATGTTTGTTCTTGATCCTTTTCTTTGTTGTTTCAATTTAGGTTAATCAATCTGTTTTTAAAGTGAATTGGGTTTTAATCAGTTTATGAAATAAACTAATTAAAATTATTCATACGTAAATCTTCAAATCTACGATTAATTGACTCGTGTAAATTATTGGTTGTGTTGAGTTTAATGTGCCCTGGTACGACCGAGAGTGGGGAGAGTAAGCTCTCCGTCTCGAAATGTTCTCATATGACCACGCGTATACACCCACTCACAGGGAAGTCTTACTCACTATCTTCTCGTGGCAAGGGTGTTGTTTACGAAATCGAGGACAAAAAGCGAATTTCCGACGCTTTAACCGGGTTGGTGGACACGGAGGATCCACCTAGGAGAGTTGGAAAATCTTGATTCCAAATCAATGGTGCACATGAGCTCCAGTATCCTGAAGCAACAAAGGCATATGAACCAATTGTTGGTCACCAGCTAACATGGAACTGCATCTTCTTACGTTGTTCCACTGCCTTGTGGATTAGACCTTTATGTCGAAGGCTCTAGGTGTACCTCCCTAGGAAAATCACCTGCTTCGGTTTGAGCACCCGGGCAGTATCGTAACCCACACACAAATCAAGTGACATGTGTGGCTCATATGTATCTGGTGCCCCTTTGTACCAATATTTATGTGTTCAAATAAATAAATAAGGCTATTTAAATATTAATAATTTTAGTTTGTTTTTTAAAGTTAATGTTAAACTGTAACCTGTAATTTGAAATATTTATCACAGTTTAATCAGTTCATTTATCATTTTAAAACAATCAACCTCATAATGATTATTTTAGTTAAGAATTCATGCATAGTTATACTTTATTTATTTACATGTTTGTAGTCATAAATACTGTGAATTGGGTTTATGGCGAAGTAACCACCTCCATTGCCCGAGGCCTTTATATATTACACCATTGAGTGAACTGCTTCTATGATTCCGGTGTTCGTCTTGCTGTGCTAATGAGGTGTGGCAACTTGGACCGATGCATGTATGGGCCTGGTCCTACATTGTAGCTGACTGAGTCATAAATACTTTTAACATGTTTTTTTTTACATTAGACTACTGTCAAATTACTTCATTAATTTGTATTTCTCTCAGATGTAGTATGTTAGGCATTTACGTTTAATTAAATACTGAAGAAAATTTTTATATGTATAGATATGTGCCTGATTTTGTTGTTAATCATATCTTTAGTTATAGATTATTTATGCCTTAAGTTTTTTTTACTGCCTTCAAAGTAAACTTTCATACACTTCTCATTATCACATTTACTCTCAATTGCATATCAACCTTAAACATGATGTAATACTACTGAGTATATCACTAATGTTTAACAACTACACTTTAAATTCTCCACTATTACTAAGGCTTATTTTGTTTATAATCACGAACTATAACATATCATTGAGATATTGTGCTTTCCTACCAATTCTTTCGTTTTATTTCTATTTTTGTTCTATAGCAGGAACTAAGCGCTCGTTTAAGTTCAGCGATAGCTGCTCGACAACCTCAGTCATCAAAAAGTACTAGTTCATCTATGCCTTCATGTCCTGTGTTGCCTAAGAATTCTGGTCAAAGCAAAAGAAACAGCAAAGTTGTTACATCTGCTCAATCATCATCGTCAAGTAAATTACCGATACCTCCGTTAAATTCTGGTTCATTGATCAATTGCATTTCGAAATTAGACACATTAACTAGTTGTCATAATTTCTGTCCTACGAATTCGAATAACGTGCAACCTACAACAGCATCTAATAATTCAACTAAATCATCATATTCCAGTGATCAAGCTTCTATACAATCACAAAGTAACCCTTTATGTAAGCTGATACACTTTCAGATTGTAGTGTTTGACGTAATTGTACTATGTAATTCACCTAAATGCATCGAAATCGCTTCTTATGTTGTTTAAAAATGTTTCAGATTCTGACGTTGCACTGTGGTTGACTGCATTCATGAATACATATTTATATCCCTTGGTTTGCTATTTTTACAGCGAATGTAAGGCACTAATAATTCTATTCATATTATATTAGATACGAAGGAATTCTTAACTTGAGTCTAAGCCAGATAGTTCAAAGTTTCACAATATGCTATTGTGATCATGTGTTGAATCTTACAAAATCATACTGCGCCGGTGAAATATAAGTAATCATGTTGGTCATTTTACAAGAATAATTGATCATCGTTGAGAAATAATATATGAGCGATAATCAAATAGAGAGAGTCGTTTAACATCCACAACTCCGAGGGCAGGTTTCACAAGCATAGAGCAAAACTGATCTCACCGACGTACTATAGATCTGACCTTTTACAACGGGATCAATATTAAGAAGGATTCGTAGATGGGTCAGAGCGCCAGAAGCCACTCTAAGTTTCACTATACGTGAATTGATGTCATCATTCACGCCACCATCAGCACTTACACAGCTACTGAGATACGACTATTTTGAACTACTGACTACCAAGAGTGAATACAGATTTCGGGGTTCTAGTCTTGTAAAAGTATTTTTCACTTAGAAGGTCTAAGGTACATGCCCCGTACCTACATACACTGCCAACTGATTAAGTGCGAATTCCATGGCTTGGGTACATCGCACAGTAAGACAATATCGTCCGCATACAGTAGGTCGGAAAGTTTTTCTCGAAGTAAAATGTACACCACCATTACCTACATCCATTAGGCTGTTTCCCGAAAGTCGTCAATGGCAAATTTGGAGACAAATGGTGAGATTGGGCAATCTTGTGTAATCACACTGCTTGAAACAATGGAGTGCGGTGGTTATACGCCCTCACTCTTCCTTAGTTGTTGTATGTAGGGTCTCCACGATGTTGATACACTTCTCAGATATACGCTTGTCCAACAGATAATCTCAGAGAACAGTCCTGTCCAGCGAACAGAAGGTAGACCCAATGTCAAGAAGCACGTACCGGTAAGATAATTCGATAAATTGTTAATTTCTTATCAGTAATGCTAATAAACTATAAAAATTCTATAAAGATTTCATTGTTCGTAATTCCTACAACGTATCTAACGGAGAAGTATACAAATTGTTGGGTACGCTACCATCTGTAAAAAATTATTTGATCGTTTATCTCACAGCGTTTTACAGTGGTTATTCAGATGATCTTATTATCATGCACTTATTCGTCTTTTGATTGCGTTTTGACAAAAAGTTGTAATTCATTGTGAAATCAAGTTTCTCGTAATTGTTTTTAAGGGATTTTATGTTTGTATTTACTTATATGACTTATAAGACTGCGAAAATTCAGCCTAGTATATATAAAGACAAGGAAATGAATATATGTTAATTCCTCTTAAGTATATAGTTGTAATCTACTCATTTTAAAATTTTATATCTGTTGTAATCTACTCAATCACTCAGATTAAGATGTTCACTCTTAGCTTAGTTTCTGAATTCTTACGCCGTTTTAAGTTTTGATTGTTATTTTTTCTTAGGACAATCAACTGTCATTAAAATGATGTGTAGTCGACTTTTAAGTTTCCTCAAAGTCATATCCTTAATTCATATAACACTGTGGTGTGAAATTTAATTGTCCTTCTTGAATCCAAACGAAATTTCATTTACCACCATACTGTAGACAGATAACATTTTCAACTTTAGAAAACAATCAATCTATTGAAATCATCTTATGTACATTAAATGTTTACCATCGTTTCTCTGTCATAACATAAATTACTTATACTTGTATAATGTTTTTTGCCACTACGTTTTTGAAGTTTGATTTAAGATCATTTTATTGTTGACTGAATAGTCAACAAGATATAGGAATTGATGTTATAGTCGTAACTTATTTATTTATTTATTTATTATGATTTATGACTCATGATTATATTTCATTCTCTACTACTAGCTTTTATGATATTTACATCACCAACAGTTTCGGAAATACATAATCATAATATTCCATCTTCAACAAATCAAACAATTATTACATCTAATGAAATTCTCTCTAATGAATTGAATACTTTTGAGCCATCAATAATCGTAGCAACTAATTCAAATTCAGTTAGTCTATCCAATGATTGTAAAACAAGTTTAACTCAGTGAATTATAATTCAGTACGGACAAGGTTTTTTTTTATATATTGTTTTATTCTTATTTATAGTTGATGTTCAATTTCCAAGTTTACTTTTTTTCTTCTTCTCCTTCGTTTTCTAAATGGATGTATGTTGTTGTTTGTTTATTTATTTAAATTTTACTAGAGTCATGTACACTTTTTAGGAATTTAAAATCCGCACTATTCTCAAATAACTAAAAGCATATATATATATCATACTAGGAATTTTCTAACTGTTTAGTATCGTTTTCTCTTGTATTATTACTAATTCTATAATTGAAAATTTGTTATTAAGATATATTTATTTAAGAAAATGATCTATTGTCTTTTTAAAGGAAATGTTTGTTTTTGTTTTTATATTTAAATACGCACCCCAATATAAGTGACTCAATAAATGTAATTCCCCCCCCCAATATGGCAGCCATTCGAAGCAGTGAAAAACAAAATTTAAACAGTTTCTGCTAAAGAAAAGAATAAACGATGTTTTTCCTCCTTTTTTTGTTTTTGATATTCCCAATTGTGGTTATATTACATCACCTCGTTTGTTTTTTTGTTGTTTTTTTTTGATGAATGATTTACAATTAGGTTTCGTAGTTTTTTTCATATTATTAGTTAGTAGTGTTATTTTCATTTTAAATAAAGTTTCTTGTATAATGAATAGGATTTTTCAAATAATCATTTGTATTATGTTGGTCAACTATAAAGTTTTGTTATAATGTTGTAATATTTAAATTGAAACGCTCTTTTGAAACGTTGGACACCATTCTTTTAAAAAATAGAAATTCATCATTTAGTAATTTAAAGTTATTTATTTATAAAATATAAAAAATTATTTATCTTCTATCTTGTAGTCTACTTTCATGAGAGGATTTGGTTAGTTTTATGCGATAAAAATTATATTTATTTATGGTTTATTTTTTAGAATATAGCTGATTTATTTACAGTTTATCCTGTGATTACCTCTAATCTATAGAGGAGCACATTGTAAGAAGTGGTTCTTCTATTTAAACTTGATGAAGAAAATGTGGTAGGTTAGATTCTAGTTAACTGTAGACTCTAGATATGAACATTTCCGTATTATGACTGACAGTATTCTACCCGCATTTTATTTTGGACCGTACCTAATCTGAAGTAATACATTAGTCAGCTACAATGTAGAACCAGACGTATATGTGCATCGGTCCAAGTTGCCATACCTCATTAGCACAACAAGATGAACACCGAATTCATAGAAGTAATTAATTCAGTGGTGATAATATATAAAAGAAAGATTGTATATAAGGATATAGTACAGGAAGAAAGGTTTAGTTCGCAGAAAGAAATGTATAGACTATTTTTAATCTCATGATTTAAGGGAAGACAAAGAGTGTTTACACCTACGCCATTGTAATCGATTCTGAGCCATGTCACCCAGGGTCTCCAACCATTGGTTACGATAGTCACACAGACCTCAACCAAGTAATCTGCATCTACCAACATCAAGTTGAAACAGTTTTATGATAAGGTACACGTAAAACGGTACTTCAAGCTTTAGTCTACGACTGAATATGTTTGACTGTAATAAACACTTTATGCTACTCAACAAGGGTGTAATATATTACTTTCAATAATTGGGAGATTGGTTAGGTGGTTCTCATGTCTTTCATTAAGACTTTTAACTGAGCAGTTCCCTGTAATTATTATAACTTAACTCATTATGGTATTAAAAAGGAAGAATGTATTTGTAAAATCTCAGCGAAAGGACTTAAAGTAATTCCAACGTTTCGCCTGGCAATCTGGTCCAAGCTTTTTCAAGGAAAACATAATCAAACAACAAAATTATAGAATATTCGATAAATAAAACCTATTTCATTTTCGCCAACAACAAGAGGAGTGCCATAAGGATCAATCCTTGGATCACTTTTCTTCCTACTGTTCATTATCGACCTGCATAACTTTCTGTATTATCAAATTCTCCCTTGAGCTGATAATTTTTTATATCTGCAGCAAAGTAGTTGGTTTGAATATCTTGCATTTTATAGAATACACTGGTAGACAACCGAAAACCTTTCCCTCGGTTCTAACAAATTCAGAATGATAATTGTGAATAACAGGCAGGTTACATTGTCACGCTTTTCGTCATTGTATAAGACAACAACACCATTCTTTGTGATACTTAAAATACGTCTACCCATAGGAATTCTAAAACAACGGGAAGTAGTCAACATTGAAGGTTCTTCGTAAAACAGTTTGTAATCTGATCCGGAATCAGTCAAAGAACTCACACTAAAAACTAAAACACACTGAACTCAACTATATATATTCCTCATTTATGACCAGATTTAGTATCACAGAAGCAGGGGAAGTGTGATCATCATAATATATTGTTCATAGTCCCCATTCCCCGAATAGTTCATTGATCCGCACGAGTCACGCTTAAGAGGACGTCCACAGAAGGTAGAACTCGCAAAAGTTTGCCCAAGACCCCGGACAAATTTATTCGCGATTTGAACCAATAAGTTACTGAAAAAACTTGTGGATGATAGTATTGATGCACTCCGTTGATCTCGTAAAAGGCTGTCAATGGCCTGTTAATCTAACTGCTATTCGAATGAACGACGCAATATGCCATGTATATAAAATTTTGGTTGATTCACGTTTATCTCACAAAAGCTAATACCGTTTCGGATACAGCGGTAACAAAAAGCGATATAATTCAAGGAAACATTTTCACAGACCGACATTACGAAGCAAAATATGATAACCGAGGTAGAGAAGAGAAGGCAAAAGCGTTAAATCAGGCTTTATACGTGTTATATAAGTCAATATAGCCCAAAATAAGTCATGTGATAGGAAAATAGTGTGTGCAAAATATGCACACAAGGCGCATAACTTTGGAAATATAAGCACGTGAAAATAAAACGTGTATATGCGTAAGAATCAAAATTTCACGTGACAATAATTAGAGTTATTGTGAAAACAAAGTAAGTTGGTAGTCGCAAGCGATCTTAATAATTAAAACCTTTTCACACGCTAGGATGTGCCATTTGTGAAGTAGTAGTAGTAGTAGTAGTAGTAGTAGTAGTAGTAGTAGTAGTAGTAGTAGTAGTAGTAGTAGTAGTAGTAGTAGTAGTAGTAGTAGTAGTAGTAGTAGTAGTAGTAGTAGTAGTAGTAGTAGTAGTAGTAGTAGTAGTAGTAGTAGTAGTAGTAGTAGTAGTAGTAGTAGTAGTAGTAGTAGTAGTAGTAGTAGTAGTAGTAGTAGTAGTAGTAGTAGTAGTAGTAGTAGTAGTAGTAGTAGTAGTAGTAGTAGTAGTAGTAGTAGTAGTAGTAGTAGTAGTAGTAGTAGTAGTAGTAGTAGTAGTAGTAGTAGTAGTAGTAGTAGTAGTAGTAGTAGTAGTAGTAGTAGTAGTAGTAGTAGTAGTAGTAGTAGTAGTAGTAGTAGTAGTAGTAGTAGTAGTAGTAGTAGTAGTAGTAGTAGTAGTAGTAGTAGTAGTAGTAGTAGTAGTAGTAGTAGTAGTAGTAGTAGTAGTAGTAGTAGTAGTAGTAGTAGTAGTAGTAGTAGTAGTAGTAGTAGTAGTAGTAGTAGTAGTAGTAGTAGTAGTAGTAGTAGTAGTAGTAGTAGTAGTAGTAGTAGTAGTAGTAGTAGTAGTAGTAGTAGTAGTAGTAGTAGTAGTAGTAGTAGTAGTAGTAGTAGTAGTAGTAGTAGTAGTAGTAGTAGTAGTAGTAGTAGTAGTAGTAGTAGTAGTAGTAGTAGTAGTAGTAGTAGTAGTAGTAGTAGTAGTAGTAGTAGTAGTAGTAGTAGTAGTAGTAGTAGTAGTAGTAGTAGTAGTAGTAGTAGTAGTAGTAGTAGTAGTAGTAGTAGTAGTAGTAGTAGTAGTAGTAGTAGTAGTAGTAGTAGTAGTAGTAGTAGTAGTAGTAGTAGTAGTAGTAGTAGTAGTAGTAGTAGTAGTAGTAGTAGTAGTAGTAGTAGTAGTAGTAGTAGTAGTAGTAGTAGTAGTAGTAGTAGTAGTAGTAGTAGTAGTAGTAGTAGTAGTAGTAGTAGTAGTAGTAGTAGTAGTAGTAGTAGTAGTAGTAGTAGTAGTAGTAGTAGTAGTAGTAGTAGTAGTAGTAGTAGTAGTAGTAGTAGTAGTAGTAGTAGTAGTAGTAGTAGTAGTAGTAGTAGTAGTAGTAGTAGTAGTAGTAGTAGTAGTAGTAGTAGTAGTAGTATAGT